TGTAGTTGGTCAATTTCTTACGGCTTAAGGCTTAAAACACCTATTGTAGATCCGGACTAAATCCTATAGCTATCTATTGTAAGAAATTTAGAGAAAATAGGCACAATAGAGAAACTATCAGCGTCAAGGCTGTGTGGCTCAGTGGCAGAACAGAAGTCTACCAATTCGGAGGAAAGATCAGGCCTGGGTTCGAGAGGAGGAACGCCCTGATATTTTTCTCTGTTGTCATCAATTGTTTACATTGTACAAGCTTCTACAGAGGCTGTGTTCCAAAATTTACTGTCAGCACTGAAAATCTATAGTGCACATAACGTAAGCTATAGATTTTTAGTACTGGCAGCAAATTTTGGAACAGAGCCAGATATTATAGTCCTCTATAGAAACTCATGAAAAAACCCATGGGAATTTACAGCAAGATAGGAGCCTCCTCCCATGGGGACCTGTCGAATTTATCATTTGTACCTAAGGTTAGGCAAACCCATAGGAAAATTCGGGATGATCCCGATTGATCATGGCTCAATTGGACACCACCAATCACAGCAACCGGTGCTTAGGAACTTTGTAGTCTCAAGAGCTGTGAGTGGCTCGTGTCCAATTGAACCGTGTCCAACTGGGTGCCACCCGAAAATTCCCCATGAGAATTTGCAGCAGGGAAGTGACATAACCAGACCTGTCTCATCTCTTAATTTTCACTTAACCTCACTCGATGAATTAAGGCTTACATTGAATCGGTTTTGGGAAGTTGAACATAACGCTACTGCGAAACCATTTTCCCCCGAAGAGAAGGTCCGTGAAGCATTATTCCCACAAGGAGTAAACCGTAACAACGAAGGTCGTTTTACCGTCAAGCTGCCAATAAGGCAAGACAAACTAGGCGAATTGGGAGAATCCAAAAACATCGCTCTAAGACGTTTCAAGTCTTTGGAGATGCGGTTCATCGCTCAACCCCGCATGTATGACGAATACAAGAAATTCATGGATGAATACACCCAATTGAACCACATGAAGGAGGTGAACATTCACACGATGCCAAGCCCAAGCTCTCCAGTCTTTTGCCTCCCACACCATGCTATACGAACCGAAGCGAACCATTAAGTTTCGGGTGGTATTTGACGGCTCGTGCAAAACTACAACCGAACGGGGTGATCCCGATTGATCACGGCTCGATTGGACGCCACCAATCACATCGACCGGTGCTTAGGAGCTTTGTAGTCTCAAGCGCTGTGAGTGGCTCGTGTTCAATTGAGCCGTGTCCAACTGGGTGCTACCCCAACCAAACTATCTTTAGACGACACGTTAATGGTAGGACCGACGATACAAGATCTTTTTTCCATTTTAGCCAGATTCCGAACATTCAAAATTGCTCTCACCGCCGATATAACAAAAATTTATCGGCAAGTTCTGGTCGATTCAACTTAAACATCTTTGCAACGTATTTTCTGGCCAAATGGAAGCATTTCGAAAGGGAATTACACGAGATAAATAGCATACGCATTCCTTGCCTGGTCACAACCACAGAGCAACAAACCCGTTTGGAACTATATGAGTTCTCAGTCGAAATTGCATACGGAGCATGCATCTATTTACGTTCCATCTCAATCAATGGGAATTATTGTACATGGCTACTTTACTCCAAATCCAGAGTAGCACCATTAAAAGATTTGTCACTTCCGCGCATTGAGTTATGTGGTGCAATGCTACTAGCTCAGCTCATCAATAAAATCTCTAAATGTCTTACGTGTAAAATATCCGCCATTTACCTATGGACGGATTCTACAATTGTACTATCGTGGCTGCAATCGTGCAGTCAATCTTGGTCAACTTTGTAGCGGAGAATCCCGATTGAAAACGTTACGATAGGACATGTGCACGATTGGACACGCACGATTGGACACGTTCAATTGGACACGCGTACGATTGGGCACGGCACGATTGGACACGGCACTATTGGACACGTGCATGATTGGACACGGCACGATTAGACACGTGCACGATTGGACACGTTCAATTGGACACGCGTACGATTGGACACGGCCTCGATTGGACACGGCACGATTGGACAGGTGCACTATTGGACAGTGCACGATTGGACACGGTATAATTGGACACGTGCACGATTGGACACGACACGATTGGACACGTGCACGATTAGACACGTGCACGATTGGACAGGGCATGATTGGACACGTGTATGATTGGACACTGCACGATTGGACACGTGCACAATTGGACACGTGCACGATTAGACACGACACGATTGGACACGTGTACGATTGGACACGTGCACGATTGAACGAGTGCAAGATTGGACACGGTACGACTGGACACGTGCACGGTTGGATACGACACAACTGGACACGCGTACCGTTGGTCTTACGTGGTAATAATAAATAGCGTAGAATCATTATACAGGGTGTCTCGAATTTAAATGTCAAAGCTTCTGTAATGTGTAGGAGATCGATAAATTAAGAAAGAAAAGTCCTCTAGAGATATGCTCGTTTTTACTTCGTTTTGGAGAAAATCGCGAAGATGGCAAAACATACTTGCTTCGTTCTTGCACTGCCTCTGAAGTATTATCGTCGCTAAGATCATAAACGAAAACAATAATAATAATAATTCCGTTAACATGTGAAAAAGTTATTTGTTTGTTTACATTTTCGCCTTTCTCCTATAAATTCGTCAGTTACTCGTCAGAAGTTATCGAGTGGATTACTCCTGTCACATTATGCCGAGTACACATTCTAACACGTACACGATGAATATGTTGACATGATTTTCGTGTATCGCTTCTGCGGGGTGGCACCCAGTTGGACACGGCTCAATTGGACACGAGCCACTTACAGCGCTTGAGACTACAAAGCTCCTAGGCACCTGGTCGCTGTGATTGGTGGTGTCCAATTGAGCCGTGATCAATCGGGATCACCCCGCTTCTGCAATGGTAATGCTAAGGCACTATAAACGTGAGTATTCGTATATCTGCCATTTTTACTCCTTCTCCCTATCCTTGTTCTATTCCCACTGAGCTGAGAAAATTATCGTCGTTACGGTTGTTATAGGTTATAGCTTCTAAGTTGTTGGAAACAAGCTAATTCCTTGTAGGAATGAAAGGAGCTACAAAATTTCAAGCAGCAAATACAAGTATATTGCTTTCTTTTTGTGTATAATCCTTAGTTTTTTTCAAGCCAATCAACAATTTTCGTAATTACCTTTTTATTACTTGTAATCACAGATTTACCATTTATTTTCTTCGAAGTACTTGGAAAGAAAATATACCAATTGCACCAGAAGTTCGATAAACTTGTTTGAGACTCTCAATGGTTAGTGAAGCTTTTAAGAGGTGATGAGAGAGTATACACACTAATTTCCATATCAAGAGAAAGGTAAGCAGAAATGTAAACAAACAAGGAAAGTTTTCACATGAGAACGGAATTATTATTATTTTCTTGTACGATTTTAAGGGGTGATCCCGATTGATCACGGCTCGATTGGACACTACCAATCACAGCGACCCGTGCCTAGGAGCTTTGTAGTTTCAAGCGCTGTGAGTGGCTCGTGTTCGATTGAGCCGTGTCCAACTGGGTGCCACCCCTCGAAACGTGGCAATAGTGTCGCCGCGGGGGTGATCCCGATTGACCACGTCTCGATTGGACATCACCAATCACAGCGACCGGTGCTTAGGAGCTTTGTAGGCTCAAGCACTGTGAGTGGCTCGTATCCAATTGAGCCGTGTCCAACTGGGTGCCTCCCGTTGCCGCGCATGACAGCACTAGTTTCTAAAGGAGTATACTAATGATTTTTCGAACTTACACCGATCCTTGTGATATTGGGCAAATTTTTAATTCGGTAAAAGGAAATATTAGAAATATCTTTTTTTCATAATGTTTATATTTTTACGTATAAAATATCAACAAAAAATAAAAAGTTAATAAACACAAACAAAAGGATTCAATAGTGTCATTTCGTCAAAATATAAACAAATAATATTTATCTTATAATATATATATGTATATTTTTTTTATATGTATTCTAATATATAATATATTTATAATAAATTTTTTCTAATACACTAATTTTTTTGACTGATAGCACAAGCAAACCGAAAGTCTGCTGATTCTGACATACTATAACAACGAGACTTTGGAGCCTTGCTTGCCATAATAGCATTGAGGCTTTCATTTGCATTACTTGAGGCATCTGCAGAAAATTTTTGAGCATTTGATGCTAATTTATCGAAGTCTCCCTTAGGCTTTCAAATAGCTGGAAATCATGAAAGCCTCCAGGGATTATTCTGTGATCGTAATTTTCTTTATCAATGATATATCCACACCAAGTACCACATTTGCTGTGGTCATTAAACGCATGGTAAGGAATACATCGAATGGCATCTGCTAAAACAGCACTATTCCCTTTGTTTTGAGCCAAAGCATATGTGAAGCATCGATGAAGATATAATATACCATCCTTAGCTCTTTGTGACTTTTTTCGATTTTATACAGTTCTTTCTTGACGCCTCCGGATGCGTGATTTATGTCAGTGTTTTACAATGTATGTGAGCTAGCTGCACGACAAGCTGCTATGGTTGAGCTATTATAAAGTTGGATTGTAAATTCTCTGGTCTGCGCAATACAAATTAAAAAGAATCAATTTGTTAATAAAATCCATGTATTTATCATAAAAGATTGATTATTATTGTTATTACTGATTATTTATTTATATTTATTTATTATAATAAAAATATTTATTTATTTATTATTCATTTGGATTCTTCTTGTAGGAAATATGAGAATGGGGTTTATAATAAAAACATTCATAGTTACACTACCGCTATTAATTAGCAGTATATCATTATATTTTATGTATGTATATATACAATATATATATATATATATATATATATATATATTATTACAAATATTACAATTACAATTTTATTTTATGTATGTATACATATATACATACATACATATTATTACAAATTTACAATAATTACAATAGCTGTTGAATGTTTTCTATATTCTCTAATGTGAGTTGCCATTCCAAATCTGCTGCGTTCTGACAACTTTCCTTCGCAATACTCTCTGTTGCCTGTTCAACTTCTTGTTCATATCTCTTGAATGTCTTGAAATCGGGTGGCACCCAGTTGGACACGGCTCAATTGGACACGAGCCACTCACAGCGCTTGGGACTACAAAGCTCCTAAGCATCGGTCGCTGTGATTGGTGGTGTCCAATCGAGCCGTGATCAATCAGGATCACCCCCTTTAAATCGATAGTTGGAATATTTAAACAAGACAGTATTTTGTTGAGATGTGTATGTCCTAATCCACCATGAAGAACACCTTGAAACACAATTAAGAATAGAATAGAGAATATGTTTGTTTATTTAAAAAACTTTTTTGAATATGGCAGGTACAATTATGTAAACTTACCGATTACTGCTTTAGTATTTACGTCAAAACGAGACAAGCGTCGATTTGCTCAGTTGTGCTGTTTACCCGCGGTGACTGCATTTGTTAGTAAACATTTGTGGCATCTAACCAACAATATCGAGCTTAAGCCTCTGTGCATTTCTTTTTCTATATAGTTTAGAGAAAGAGCTTCCTTGCATGACACACACCACAATTGCTCAGCGAGAATGGAAAATTCAACTATGCGGCGTCCTTCCATGTAGTCCGATTGAGTTAATTCATTTTGTGGTTCTGACTCGAATTTTGAGTTTGCGTTGATTTTATTTTCATTTAGAGTTTTACAGTTTTGACTTTGTTTTAATCTTTGTTGGTATACCGTTTCACTTACTAATTTGCCTTTCCACCGTCTTTTCTCGCATTTCGGCATTTTCGCTTGCTTGCTTACTTACTGTAAGCACCTAACCTCGACTCGCATTCAACTACGTACGAGACCGCAAGAGGTACCAACTTAGAGTGGAGTGCGGTGTTGCCGCATTTACTACATGATATCAGGCATTTTATTTTGACTTGTATAAAGTGTTAGAAAGGCAAATATTATATTAATGATATTTGTTTACATATTTTGTGAATTTTTAAGTATTTTTCGATGTCTGATATACATTAAATATTATCAATATGTTTCGTTTTTTCGTTTCTTGCAGTTGATTTCATATGAAATTCACGTCCAAGTTTTTTGCCGACAATCACAAAACTTGTAAAATATACAAATATATTCATTTGTAGTGCCAAATATTATATTAACTGGCATTATTTAAGTCCTTTACACGGGTGGCACCCAGTTGGACACGGCTCAATTGGACACAAGCCGCTCATAGCGCTTGAGACTACAAAGCTCCTAAGCACTGGTCGCTGTGATTGGTGGTGTCCAATCGAGACGTGGTCAATCGGGATCACCCCCCTTTACACGATAAGAGCATGATATGGTGCATATCTTAACTTATAAAAGCATCCTTAATTTGTCTTCTTGAAATTCTGAAACTAAAAAATTTATTTCTAACTGAAAACATGTTTCTAAAGCTTTAACGGAATATTATTAATTGACACGACGTACTTGATATTACATTATGGTTTTCGTTTTTTTTCCTGTACAAATTGTTGCTCATCTAATCTTGTAAGGACAACTTGGCATTGTTGACACTCCTTTTTGGTATCTAAAAATGATCTTTTATGTAATACATCTAATTAAAATAAAATATTAAAAAAACAGTAAATATTTTGAATATACGATAGGAAATTACCAGTGTTAATCTTTGTCCCATATTCTTGAAAACGATTTTCCTTATCTATATTATCTAAAACATAATATATATACATTTTTTTACACATATATATATATATATATATATATATATATAATTTATTTCGGAATGTTATGGGTCTAAAAATATAGATTGAAATATTAAATGATAATAACATTTTATTACGCGTTATCTAAAATAATATGAAAATTATTTTAGCATTAATTTTATTGTGCGAACTTTGATATTTTGTTTTGAAAAATAAGTGATACTTTGAGTACATGTGAATGAAACGGGTGAAGCTCGTTTGACCATGTTGTGATTGACACAAGCTACTTACAACGCTCGTCTAATGGAAAAATTCTAGGCACCGGTCGTTGTGACTCGCTGTGGTTAATCGCAACATGGTCGCAAACAGAATGCTCCCTATTAGAATTAAAAAAAAATTTGCTCAAACAATTTTTTATTATTCACATATTATAAATATTTAAAAAAATACTTTCCAACTTTATTAATATATGTATTATCAATTACTTACTGTTTTTTTTAAAACAAATCTAATTGATCAATTTCTGTACAACTATACGTATAATATTTCTTATTAAAACCATTTTATATTGAAAATATTACCTGTATTATTAAACATCCCTTTATGCAATGTAATATAATTTTCGTTATCTTTTTCTAGAAAAAAATATATCTTATAAATCATATTAATGGTTAATTAGCATATGTATGTATTATTGTCATTTTATATTATTTAAAACACATTACCATTAAGTTTCCTTTTATTTTTGTTACATATTGTGTCTTTATATAGGTCAGCATTTGTATCAGCAACAGTAATTAGGACTAAAAAGATGATCAGAAAATTATGAATGTGTTTTATAAATATATCTTAAATAATGTTAAAGAAAATTATTTTTGTTACATCATTAAATATAAATACTTAAAATCGAATACGTAGAGATAATATCAATAAATGCTAATAACAATTGCCATTGAAATACATTAAGTTGATGCAAAAATGTCGGTTTTTACTTTTCTGATTTTGTTTAAATGACGAACAACTATTGATTGATGAACATTTAGTTCCTGTGCAATCTGTCGAGTGGTTTTTAATAGATCCTCTTCAATAATTGCCTTTAACTGGTCATTGTCAGTGGCTATAAGCCGTTTCCAACCCTCTTTATTTTCAAAGTTCTCATCTTCGTCATAAAATTTTTGAAACTATCGTTGCTATCCGTTCGTTTGTAATTGACCAAGTCTTTCATTAACTTTTCAACTCGTTTCCGCAGCTTTAGGGTCTATAGTTTGAACTCGTAAAAAAATTACTTGAAATTGCTTCTTTTCCATTTTTAATAATAATGATAATAATTGATCACGTAGTTAACACTGAGAACAAAATTACTAGCACAATTAATATAGCGGAATCTGCGTTTGAAAATGACGCAACATGAACACAATTGAATATAATATATTGCACATACTACATACAATAAAGCGCCAAAGTTTAAAACAGAAAACTGATATTTTTCTTGCATCAATCTTATAATATCAGTGTCGAGACTCACATCTAATTATATGTATACAGGGTGATTCAGACTACCCGTAGGAGTCGGCACGTACATATTCCTGGGGTGATCCCGATTGACCACGTCTCGATTGGACACCACCAATCACAGCGACCGGTGCTTAGGAGCTTTGTAGTCTCAAGCGCTGTGAGTGGCTCGTGTCCAATTGACCCGTGTCCAACTGGGTGCCACTCCATATTCCTCATGAAAAACTGAGTCGAAAATGTCAATGGCAAAATGTTGTGGGGTCAATAGTTTTTAAATGGTGAGCCTTTGAAACCTTCCAATCACAGGACGTGAAGTCCGCACCGTCAGGTGTGGCGCAACCAATCGCTAGCCGCGCGAGCGCTTTGATGGATACCGCTAAACCGCACGATGCTGAATGAATATTGCAAAAGTTTTGAAATCTTTATTAACATCTACTGCTTTATGTTTAAATTGAGTCTAATTTAATTGACGAGAAGTAATGTCACAATTGCAAATTTGATTATCAGCAAATATCATTTATATCAGTAAAAAAGTATGTATTTTTCAAACATTTCAAATAATAAACAAATTAATGAATAAAATTAATATTAATTAAATTATTTAAATAAATAATATTAAAATCTGTCGACAAACATTTCCAAAATTGGTTTACAAAAAGTTCTGTTGTAAACGTTATTAGAGAAAATGTACATTTGAAAATTTGCATTCGATATAAATAACTGTTTCATATTTAAGAAATGAAATGAATGAAATTCCGAATTACAATATGAGAGGAAAGGGAAGTATTACAGTGAAAGAATCGAAGTAAGCAAGTAATAAGCTGTTGTTACAAAAAATTATATTTTTAATGTTTTAAACATTTTTACATGGAAGTGTTCGAAATGGCAAAACATTAGATTTGAATGACAAAACATTATTACATTTGAAAATTCAAATGTACATTTTCTCTAATAACGTTTACAGAACTTTTTGTAAACCAATTTTGGAAATGTTTGTCGACAGATTTTAATATTATTTATTTAAATGATTTAATTAATATTAATTTTATTCATTAATTTGTTTATTTGAAATGTTTGAAAAATACATACTTTTTTAATGATATAAATGATATTTGCTGATAATCGAATTTGCAATTGCGACATTACTTCTCGTCAATTAAATTAGACTCAATTTAAACATACAGCAGTAGATGTTAATAAAGATTTCAAAACTTTTGCAATATTCATTCAGCATCGTGTGGTTTAGCGGTATCCATCAAAGCGCTCGCGTGAGTAGCGCTTGGTTGCGCCGCACCTGACGACGCGGACTTCACGTCCTGTGATTGGAAGGTTTCAAAGGCTCACTATTTAAAAACTATTGACTCCACAACATTTTGCCATTGACATTTTCGACTCAGTTTTTCATGAAGAATACGTACGGCCGACTCCTACGGGTAGTCTGAATCACCCTGTATAATATACAACTTTATTATTGATGATTCATGACAATTTTAGATATTTTTGCGATTATTTAAATTAAATGTTCTAATTACAATAGTTAGGTTAATTTTTACATTGAAATTAAGATTGTACTGAGGATCACCTAAAAAGACAAGTCGAACCGTTTATGATTACTGTTTAGTTACTACATCAAGAAAAGTTACACAGACTATAACAAAAATTTAATAAATTGAGATACATATGTATGTACATCCTGTGTCGGCTTATTATTAGCATTATCTCTACATATTTGATTTGATTCATTTTAGCCTTAATAGAAATTTTTTAAATCCATTAATTTTGATTTTTCATGTTTTAATATACTTTATTATATTTGACTCTTATGTGACCTTTATTCTCTCGTTATTGTTTTTAAATTAAGAGTCCTTCGTTCTTGTAATAATTTATAAATGTATTAATTTAAATAATAAGAATCTTATTCTAGACCGTAACATACAATTAATAATAGAAGACTAGAAATTCAAAGGCCCATACCAGTAGATCCTTAATGCTTAAATATAATTAAATGTGAATTATATATATACTATTTGTGTACATATACCATATTTGTAGTCCTTTAAACTGCGTTCCGAATTGGTTTTCCGGACTTTATAAACGCAATTAAACTACTGGCATAATATCACGAATTAAATTAAATTGACAAGCAATTCTTAAATAATTTTGATGCCAAAATCAAGCATCATATTAGCAAGATGTTAATGTGCTGAAAAACTGTAAATAAATTTATTGCGAAAAATATTACCTCGGCCGGGAGTCGAACCCGGATCTCTTACATTCTGTGTGAGCGTCCTTACCAGTTAGACTACCGAGGCAATGTACCATAACAGGAACGTAAGAGATCCGGGTTCGACTTCCGGCCGAGGTAATATTTTTCGCGATAAATTTATTTAGTTTTTCAGCACATTAACATCTTGCTAATATGATGCTTGATTTTGGCATCAAAATTATTTAAGAATTGCTTGTCAATTTAATTTAATTCGTGATATTATGCCAGTAGTTTAATTGCGTTTATAAAGTCCGGAAAACCAATTCGGAGCGCAGTTTGAAGGACTGCAAATATGGTATATGTGCAAGTACACATATAGTATATATATAAAATTCACATTGAATTATTTAAGCATTAAAGATCTAGCTTTGACCGGTATGGGCCTTTGAATTTCTATTCTATTATAAATGTATATAGAGAGTGCTCCATTTTTAACGATCATCCCCCAAAATTTTTTGCTTTTACTTTTAATATTTCAGACAAATATGTGATCGAAAGAAAAATAATAGTAAACTTAATTTTCGAAAGAAAATCAATTTTTTATAAGAGAACCATTTTTTCTATAAAATATTATGATTTTTCTCCATAATCAGATTCTTCTAATTGTTCTACATAAAAAATATTACAGTAGAATTATTTTAAAAATTAATAATTCACGAGATATTTCGTATTTTATAGTATATTAGAATGAAATATAAAAAAAATATCTCATAAACTATTCATTTTTTGATAACTGTATTTTAATATACTTTTAATATTTTTATGTACAAAATAATGACATAAATTAATTGGCGAAAAAAACACATTGTTGTTCTTCAAAAAAGATATGTAGTAAATTGCATAATTTTTTTGAAAAGTAATGTTTTCTTAACAATAATGTTATAATTTTGAAAAAAATGTTTGTTGAAAATTGATATTATTTGTTCAACCTCCCTTTATCTGAAATATTTTTTCTCCAAAATAATTTCTTCAAGATATATTCAAATATCTCAATTTAATGACTAACTTTTTATATACAGAGTGTTTTATTTTAAATGATAAAGTCGATTATCTCGAAAATAAAGTATTTAAAAAAAAATGGTCCATTTAAAACTTTTAGGGCTCTAAGTAGCGTATTACATAGCAGTGTTATTGGCCTTGGGTAGCGTTAATAAGATGACGTTTAAATAATTTAAAAATTTTTAAATCTCTGTTTAAATCTAAGGTCACTAACATTGCTATGTAATGCCACTTAACTTGTTCAAGGTGTTGCATCAACGTACAGGGCAATATGACGGGTTGCCTATTCGAGCGGGCGCGTAGTTGTGAACGCCCTTGAGCGCCTGCTCGAATAGGCAACCCGTCATACTGCCCTGTATGTTGATGCAACACCCTGTAGTACAACTTCCATATAGAACATTTTTTCCGAAAATACTTTATTTTCGAAATAATCGACTGTCACTTAAAATAAAACACTTTGTATATTACCTTCAGGTTCTAGTGGATCATTTTCAAAAAAAACGTTGTTTGAAGAATCATTTATAGTTTGGATCAAGTCCTTCGTACTAATGGATGCAACTGCAAAAATAAAATCGCATTAAGAGAATATCTTTCGACATATTTTTCAAACTATTAACTAAATAAAATCAATTGCAATTGTTCTAAAATAATATTTATGTTAAATGTACGTTCAACGTATTGTGAAACTTTTTGTTGCACTCATATTAAAATATATTTTTATAATTACAGTAATTGTTACAAGTAGAAGTATTAATATTAATATTATTAGTTTTAATTAACAGAACATATAACCAATGAAATGTTTCTACTTAAAAAATTATTTATGGCTCCGACTTACTGCAGCCATCTTGGATTGTGACGTCAGAACCGAGAAAAATACATTTAAAAAAACTCTTGCTAAGTAAATTAAAATACAAATAAAAAGATAAATAAAGCCATTTTTTCAAAGCGGGTCTTAGTGCTTAGTGCTTAGTGCTTAGATATATATTCATATTATTGTATATACATATAATTATCAAATTCTAAAGACTGCGCACCAACTTGGTTTGTCGGATTTAGACACAATCATAAACTGAAATAATAATGTCACAATTAAATTTATTGATCATCAATTCAATATCAATGCTATTCGTATCTTGAAAACTTGTAAATAACTTATTGCGAAAAATAATATCTCAACCGGGAATATATCGAATTGATGATCAATTGTGAGATTATTATTTCAATTCATGATTGTGTTTTAAGTCCGATAAACCGAATCGGAGTGCATTCTTTAGAACTGATAATTATATTATATTTGTATATTCATACAGTAATATGAATATTACTAAGCACTAAGATCCGCTTTGACCAAAACATAGCTTTATTCATCCTCTTAATTGTATTTAAAACTTTTCGATCTATTTCATTTAATATTGTGTTTATAGTAAAACGTATTTTTTAATAAAATAACATTTACAATCGATAGAATAATTTAAAAATATACCGAAAATTCTCTTGTATTTTGATAATCAATAAATAAAAATGATCATATATTTGAAATTGAATTATGCCTAATCAAGAAACAAAATAAGCTATCATTGCTTGTCAAATTGAAATACATGATATTTATTTCTATTCCGAGATAAAAGAAGAGTTTTCGATATATTTTGTAAGTGTACTCTGCAATGCAAATATTACTTTATTGAAAAATATTTCTATTTTAACATATTTTGCAAACATTTTCATTATGTTTTCTCGGTTCTAATGTTACAATCTGAAAACGTGTAGTGAGTGGTCATGAGGTTCAAAATAATTATTATTATGACTAACAATTACTAACAAGTATTCTGAACCAAATCATTCATTTTTTAATGTATAAAAGTATTAATAGTTTAATAATTTAATTAATTATATAAAATAAGTTACAAAATTATAAAAAATTTACCTATATCAGCTTCTTTCTTGTGTAAGTTATCATAAATGTCCACTTCATTACTATCATCTAAAAATTTAAAATAATTTATAAAATAAAATTAATATTTATATTATTTATAAAATAAAAATATTTGCGTAAATGTTTGTAAATAAATTGTAAAAAATAACTGAATATAATATCAATGATAAAAAAACAATAACATAATTCATAAGAAAATCAATTAATATTAATCTTGATCACTTACTTATTAATGATGCTACTTGATATTGTTTGTGTAAATTTTCTTTATCAAAGAATTGCAAAAATTCATTCAATGAATAAATACCCGTCGACAAATAATTTTGTGCCTTTTGAATTTTTGCATTTTTAAACTTGTCGATCCAACAACGATTTTTTGATACTTGCAAACCATTTATCACACGATCGTGAGTGATTTCTTGATCCGTAATTAGTTTAGCAATATTATCTATATATAAGAGTAAAGAACTTTTGATAATATGAATACAAATTTAATACATTGAATAATTTACTGTTATACATTATTAGTAACTAATTGCATTATTATTTAATATAAGTTCTTATATTAAATAAGAGAGAACTTATATTTTATAAGGTGTAAGTATCTATTATTTTAATAACCAAAGAGAAAATTAAATATAATAATGAAATATAATTTTACGTACTCAAAAATATCCAAAAATTTGGATGAGTTGTTCGCATTTTTTTCAATAAAACGTTATGGAACGATTCAAGATTATTGGTTCTAACTGCACATCCATATACACTAACTTTTTCCGATATTGGGAGCCATGTGTTTCTCATATAATTCATAAAAAGTAATAAGTTAGGATAATTATTACATTCTTTATCCACAATGGTTTGCATAAGATTTAAACCTTCAGAAAACATTTCTGATGGTGCTAACGCTAAAAATATAGCCATTGATAGTACTTTATCCGGCGCTGTTACAAGTCCTAATTGTTTCCATTTTCTCAAAACTGCCTATAAATATAAATACATCAGTTTAGTAGTGTTGAAGAAAAAAAAAGTTATAATCGTTAATATCGATAAATAAACTACAAAATTGTGATTAATGTAATAAGAAAAATAATATAATAAATAATATTTAAAATACCTGATAATAATGGAACCAACAACCTCGTAGAGATGCTTCAGGAAATTGTTCATGAACAGCATTCATCGATGCTTTCTCATAATCCATCATTATAAAACGTACATTGTGTTGCAAATCAGGAGCCAATTTAACAATTTCTTTCCAAATAGATTTATAAACAGATTGTGTTCTCGCTTCACATAGAATAAACAATACTGCAATGCCCTAGAAAATAATATAATGTAAAATGAAAATATTATAAATTTGTATAACAAATCGAACTAATCAAGACTCCTTAAAAATCAAATAATTGGAAAGAATACGGGCTTTAGGAGTCAGACGTCGCAGAAGACGTCGCGCAATTGTTAAATAAAGTGCGTTTGTTAAATAAAGAAGTTTCATGCTTCATAAGTGTATTATTGTCGCGACGTCTTCTGCGCCTGACTCCTAAAGCCCGTATTCTTTCCAATTCTTTGAAAATATTATATAAAAACAAAAATGAGTGAAGTTGATAAGTTTATTGTACGATATCAATACCTTATCCATATAACGCGCATGTATTGAAAATAATTGCGCAAACTTTGGTACGCTGGGTATGACCTGAAATATACGATATATACACATGTACATACATACAAAAAATGCAATAAATAATATTGTATAATGAAGTAAAAAGATGTAAGAATAAGGGTTTTATGTTGTATAGTTGGAGAAAATAGAGCAATAACAAGTCTAATATACACTTATAATAATTAATAACAGATGGCATGTGGTAATCATGTGGATGATAATCTCAATTCATTTATTTCTTTTTATTTTAATAAAGCAATATCCCTCAATTACAAATAAAATGTTACAAATACTTACTGCAAATGTACCATCCATGAAGATATCACAGCTCTTTTCCAATATTTTTAAAAGCTTATCACTACTAAAAATGTAGGAATATTTGTTATCCTCCGATATAGCACAAGCTTTATATATATATTTTGTAGGCCCATAATGTTGTAAGAAGTCGTGAAAATCAGAAATATCTTTAGGCAATGACGGTCGTACTTTGTTCTTTTCTCTTAACAATAAGGATCGTACAGCAGAGAATGAGATATTTGCTGCTGCAACAGGATTTTGTCGAGAAACTGTGTCAAATATATCTTTGTTTGTTGCAGTGGTCTCTTTGCACATTTCAATCATCTGTTTTTTTAAGTTGAAAACATGCACAGTATTAGGATCACTTGGATGATTGTGTTCTCTTTGTACAAGAAACGTTTCATTTTTTTTAATTAATATACCACTACATAATGTAATACGTCTTTTTGCACAGCGAAATATATGAGTGTATCTTTTATCAAGATTATATGTATATCCTTGATATACATATAAAAGACTATCTTTCCTTTTTCCAGGTATTATTTCCATTTTGATACTAATAAAGTAAAATATGTTTTGCTGTAAAAAATGTTTCATATAAGAACATGTATAAATATATATAAATGTATATAAAAATATTTAATTATGTATAAAACATGTTCATGTATATTTATACAAAACAGCAAAGTAACGTCAAATGATGTCTTAATTACGTCTATTATGATGTCTTTAACGTCATTAAAACGTCAATTACTCTCTCTACTTGGGTATATTCTCTTTTTTGTAAAATTGTTTATAGTGGAGTCATATTACCGGAATTTAAAAAAAGATGGGAACTACTCGACGGGAGCAATTTTTTTTATGGAATCGGTCACAAATGATGCAAATAAAGGGAACCTGAGTTTTCCAATATGGCCGACGAACGGAACCATATTTTTTTTAACAATTTGTACACAAAAGGCAGTAAATGCGCAGTTTTTCGCTCATATCTCCGGTCCCCTTCAACGTACAGAAATAAAAAAAATACCAGTGTCTTCGTAAGAAAATTTACTACAAAAAATGTAAGATGGTCGAATTCGAAATATTGCAACCTAACCTCAAAAAAAAATAAAACTCCAAAAAACGATGAATTTTGGTTTTTATTTTATAACTTTTTTTTTAATCGTTCGATTTTAATGATATTATAGAAAAATATACTTCTTGTGGTCATAATTAAGTGTACCAAATTTCAATTAAAAATATTGATTAGGACGGCCGTAATGCCAGTTTGAATTTTAAAATTGGCAGGCTGATAACTACTGTGCAACACA